AATCCTTTTGAGAGTTATAAGTTTTCGACTGTCAAAAAATTGTACATTTTCTAAATCCAGCAAAGCTATATTACAAAGATTAAGACATACGATTGGATTTATTTTCCGTGAAATGAAATTTCTTCTTCACAAAATTTTCCATTTGACCTTTGTCGCCTTTATGGAAGTTTTCATTTCAAATTGCTATGGAACAAAAACTGAGACCCTGTGCTATTTTTTTATACACGCCACCAAACAAATAATAATTATTTTTGACGCAACAAAGTAAATATATTCTTGATCAGCGTAAAATTCTAAGACAATTTAGCCCTGTCCATCCGTCTGTTGTAATCAAGCTAGATTCGAAACGAATAAAGATAGGAAGCTAACAATTTGCACCGACCTGTCTTTTGTCTGCAGGCAGGTTAAGTTCGAAGATTGGCTATATCGGTTCACGATATCGTAAAACGGTACCTCCCAATATTCGGTATTTTCATGATTTTAGCCACATTTTTAATGGAATCCTCAGAAATTCTACACAAGGAGTTCATTGTGAGTACGTTACGCCCAAGAAGAGAATTGTTTATATAGATCCACGATATCGTATGGCCCCTATATAACGGTACCTCCCGATATTCGGTATTTTGACAGTTTTAGCCACATTTTTCAATGACATTGTCTGAAATTCTACACAAGGAGTTTTCTGTGAATATTTTATGTTTTAGGGGAATTGTCTATATAAGAAAATTGTATATGCAGGTCTACATCTTTATATAGCCCCATACAACGGTACCTTCATTTATTCGGTATTTTGATTATATTACTGACATTACAGGGTGAGATAGAAAAAACTGCAACAAAGTCAAACGACATAATTTTTAAATTTTTTATTTAAATTTTATTGAATGAAAGCAAAAAATGTCAATCAAATTTTAGAATAAGTTTAGATTTGTTCGAATTGGTCACCTTTGGCATAAATAATGGCCTTCAAACGGCCAATGAAACTGTGACACGCTGCCCGAATGTTGCTCTGCGGTATTTTGGCCCATTCCCGGCGAAACGCTTGATTGAGGTGTTCGACAATTTGGTATTTTTTAGTGCCAACCTTGCTTTATTTTCAAAATACTCCAGACTCAATAGTCCAACGGATTGGTTTACAAACTGCTGGACTACAGACGATCATTATCATTATCATCATGTTTACAATATGCAAATTAATTTTATAATGAAAGAATTCCATTTGATTTCAATATTCCCTATTGACTTTAAACTCGCAGCAATATGACATAGTCAAATATTTTACCTTGAAATTTGCAAACTTAATATACAATAAGTTTTTCGTAGTTGATTTTTAAATTTCCTCTTTTTTTCAAAAAAGATCTTATTATTAATATATACTGTACTCTACTCGACTCGTATAAAATGCCAATTATTAACTTTTCTAGTTAATAGTTTTTCATTTGTTGCTGTTTAGTTATTGGCATTTCGGAGGAGATATTGTGTAGTTGTGGTAGTGGCGTGTACAATGTACATCCCCCTCCTTGAATGCAATGCTCCATCCACCCACCCATCCATCCTGTGCTCAATATTATCCTCATCATTTGGGTCAGGCTATGCCAGAAAAATAGGACCATCGAACAAAAAGTTATGACTAACATGCATTCGCCTCTGCGAACTTTCGTCTCGATTCAAATGGACTTGCGAAACAAATTCTGCAATAAATGGCGTTGTTGCTGTACGCGCGCCTACTTTGGCATTACTTTCAGGGGAGCAGAGCATGGACGAATTTCATAGAAATCCAAATGCAATCTAATGGTAAATATTAAATACCACTCTCTTACTCTGGAGAGAGTTAAGTGCACACACACACACATACTGGCAAACTTCATTGATTTCTATGAGTTGTAACTGCAGTCAGAGTCGACGAAAGCCACTTGAGGAAATTCATTGCAGAAAATGATGTACACTCTACCCTCAGTGGCCAACCGAGTACACGGAGATAAAATTTCAATTTGAGGCTTGAGAAGGAGGATTGACATTAAAGATTATGACCAATTTCACAAGACGTCTACAGTCTGTGTTACTCTTATGTAACGATTTGGGATCTTCCGAATCAAAATAGACATGTTTTTGAAATGTTTGACATTAAATTGTTTTTGAAGATTATTCCCTCTCACTTGGGTGCGAGCGCTTCCGAGATACTCCTTTTTTAGAGTGTGAGCCGAATGGCTCGACATAAAGTAGCGTATATCTCGAAATAGAATATGTGGTTTGCTGGTTTGTGTGCGTGTAACAGCAAACAGGTTTTGATGTTGCATGGAACTGTTGGGGAGAGGGGAAATAGTGTACAAAATCAAAGAAGAGAAAAAAAGTAGAAGCAAGGAGCCGGTGGATTTTGTGTACAAATGCAACTACGCTATCATAATCTTTGTCGATCATATATGCTGTGTTTGACACTTTTTAAAGTTTTCGACTGTCACAAAATTGTAAACGTCGAAATCGCCATATACCTGTACAAATCAGAGGGGTAAAATAAAAAGGTGGATATGTATTCATAACATAAGTACATTTTAGTCGCAAAAACGCTATTAATTTCAGGTGACATTCCCTTGTAAAAATAATTCGTTGGGAAACTCACCATTTGGTTATTAGATTGGGTAAATTCAACACTTTATTCGGGTTTTACCTTGTTGATAGACTTTAGGAAACACGTTGCCACATATTACTATAGTGCAGTCTCCAGCGGGTCCTCGTCTTGGTCTTCTTAAACAGCGACAACATTTTATCAGTCGTTGGAATATGAACTCATCACAGTCATCGTGGGTAACTAGCGTTTCTGTTACATCATTCTGACCAGTATAAGCTCTATCTTGAGCGACCACTTGGAGAATGTATGTTGGTAGCAGTAAAGTGTGGAACTTCGGAGGCACACGTTTCACGTATATGTCTCGATAGTTAATAGCTGCAGCGTTTTGTGACAGGTATTTAGGTAGAAGAAAAATTGTTGGAATTGTTGCAAGAGGCGAGACGATCTGAATTGTTGCTAATTTGTAGCCGATAGGAGATAATTGTGAGCAACGGTTAAATCCCAGGGAAGATAGTTGTTAAGACAAAAGTTAAAAATGTAGCGTAGATGTGATGCCGTGCATACCGAAAACAAAATAGGGCGAAATAAACCATTTTGTCACCTTTGAAGTCCCCCAAACTATCAAATGGTGTATATATATACACCACCATATGCATAGATAGACCCTAGATTAACAAGCAAATAAATCAGAGCTCCATATAGGGTAAGTGCGCCTAAATTCGGCATGCCCCAGTAGTCGGCAGTTTTGAAATTTAAACTTAAATAACTAAGAATAGAATTGACCAAATAATGAAATAATTATAAAAAATAAAAAAGGTCAACAGTGTTCTCTGTTCTCTTTCTGTAAAAAAAAACAATGACCTCCGATCATTTATTACGAGAGAATAACGGTTTTGGTCAGTGAGTGTCTTCCAACGCGTGTGATAGTGCTTGTTTGTAAAGAAAAAATAGTGGTGGCGTCAACTTAATAATCGATTTAAGTAAATTAAATTTAATACTTTTGGAATCAGAAATATTTTATAACAGTCTAAAGATCATTTTATAACTTAAAAAGTTTACAAATCAAGCATTTTTCTGTTATATTATATAATGCCGACATTAGGAACAGAAAAAAAGAGATTTGCCAGTAGTCGGCAGGGGGGTGCCGATTACTAGAAAAATATAATTTTTGACCAATTTCACCAAAACTTGAGAAAACCATTAAAAAATTATCCAAAAACTACTCAAATAAAAAAATATTTTTGTGTCGGCAGTTGCTTTTTGACCAACTTTTCTAAATTAAGTAGGTTTTTTAAATCAGCTATTTGACGTTTTAGATAGCGGTGGCATTTTTGAAAAAAAAATGTTGGCTATCTAAAGGAAAAAAAATCAGTTCACAAATTCCAAATATAAGAAAGGCACTTTTTTTATTTAATCTCATTTTTATTTTAATTGAAAATCCATACGTTACTGAAGGTAACCCTACTATTCTTGATCTTCTACCTATATTTAGTTTAGAATGATAATTAAATAAAACACTATTAAAAAACGAAATTAATTTCAAATTCTGGATTAAACTGTGAATTAGTAATATAGCATTGTTTTATACTATTTGAAATAAAAAAATATACAAAATAATATTTTTTATTGAAATACCATATGCCGACTACTGGTAAATAGACATGCCGAGCATTGGAAAATGGTGCCGACTACTGGCAAAAAAATACTATTTTAGTAAAATTGCAAATTTTGCCAATTTTCAAGTTTTGTTTATAATTTCGCAATTGAAAGATTTCACTCAGAATGTTGAAACATTGAAAATCCTAAAAGACTTTTTTTATTTCGCTCAAATAAGGGCGAATATTCATCGTTCCTTTAAGAGTTGGAGTAAAATTCACCCAAAATCGACCAGATTCTGCTATTGTCGAGTACTTAATATTCACATAAAGTTAAGCAATTTTATAACATGTTTAAAGGATGCAATGAATGCATTCATAGTACAAGTGTAATATAATATAAGTTAATTATATAGCATTGTAAAGTACACATTTTAAAAGTATAGCGTTTTGTTAATGTTTAAAAATGGTTGGGCGCGTTCAAAAGTCTGCTACAAAAGTGTTCGTATGATAAAATCCCTTTACATATGACTCTAACACGATGTGGAAACAGGCCATTACTTTTGTCATGCCGTTGTTAAATTTTTTTAAATAATAAAAAAATTTCTCAAAGTGTACCGCATTATTGGCATTGAATAATATGGAGCTGTACAAGACCTTTGCAAACATTACAACAGCTACTACCACTATTTTTCTTTTTTTTTCATTTAAATATTCTTGTTGTTGCTGTTGAATTTGTTTAAGTTCTTTTTGTTGTTACTGACTAAAGTTTACTTTTTTATTTGGTTCGGAACGCTTTCATCTGACTGTATTTTTTTCGTTCTCTGTTGTTATTGCAGGAGTTGGCAGAGTACTTGGAAATCGTTATAAATTGGGCGAAAAAGTGCTCGTTACCAATGGCGATAAGGCAAGCGGCAATTTTATAAAATATGATGTTGAAGTTCGTGATGCCGATGTGGTAAGTAATACCTTTCATTTGATTCTTCTTTTCCGCTAGTTTATGGCCAGGCCGCTGATGCTTGTGGCCTACAGCCTTCTGCACCTTCTGCTCTGCTGGCTGGTTGGCTGGCTGCCGTGCCTTTTATATATTGGCCATGTATGCTGCGTGTATTCATCGTGCAATAATACCAAATATCAAACAAGAAAGCAAACAGGCAACCAACCAGCCAACCTATCGTGATTTTGTATTTTGGAACACTTCATCATTTTCCATAGAAGAGGCAAAATACAGGCATGACCATAGGAATCGGTACAAATGTTAAATGATGTCGGTCAATTTGATTAAATCTGATATCATTTAATAGAATTCAATGAATGAATTTTAGACTAACATATTGTCGGACTAACATATGGAGTCGGTCTTGCCTTGTGCGCCCTTCTGGCTAGAGATTAACAAATAAATATTTTTGCCAAACTTAGATAGTATTTTTAGCGACAGGTTTCGAAAGTACTTTTAAACATATATGATACGCGCCTTGCTACTCCTTTCGCTTTTATATGCATTCAAAATTTTATATACACATTTATATAGAATAAATTATATACAGGGTGAGATAAAAAACTTCAACGAGGTCAAACTGCATAATTTTAACATTTTTTTTAATTTTATTGAATGAAAGCAAAACATATCGGAAATAGCATCAAATTTTAGAATAAGTTTAGATTTGTTCGATTTGGTAACCTTTGGCACGAATTTTGGCCTTCAAACGGCCAATGAAACCGTCACACGCTGCCCAAATGTTGCTCTGCGGTATTTTGGCCCATTCCCGGCGAAGCGCTTGAGGTGATCGACACTTTGGTATTTTTTAGTGCCAACCTTTCTTTCCAAAATACTCCAGACACAAGACTCCAACGGATTGGTATCCGGAGATTTTGGTGGCCATTGTGCGCTGGAAATGAAGCGAGGAAGCCCATTTTGAACCATTCTTGGGTGGCGCGTGCTGAGCGCGATGGTGCTGAGTCCTGAACTGAGCTGTCACTGGAATAATTTTAACAGCTGTCGGACGAGTGGCTTAGAAATGACAGCAGTCTGAAGTTGGTTGCAGTTTTTTCATCTTACCCCGTACATGAAATTGGACGAAAAAATATGTGGGAGCTATATCCAAATCTGAACCGATTTCAATATAATTTGACAAAATTATTTTCCGATCAAATACCGTCACTTATTCCAAATTTCATTGGAATCGAGCATACATATCGTGTTTGGTGAATCAAATTAACGAAATCAGTCGAAAATATATATGGGAGCTATATCCAAATCTGAACCGATTTCAATGTAATTTGGCAAATTTATTGTTACCGATTTCCATTACACATTTTAAATTTGGAGACGGTATCCATAACCGATCAATATAGTTAAGTGCATCCAAAAATTACATTTTCTGGAGATACCTCCGATAATAATGCTATATTACCAGTTCCAAGTGGAATTTTAAAAATGTATATAGCCTATGTTACATTCAGGCGATGCTGTAGTATATATGAAAATGTTCAGGAAAATGTTGAGACGTACGTACAAACATTTTCCTCTTTTATAGATGTAGATGAATAGTATATACGCAATTTCATAAAAATAAATATCCATAACACCGATAGAGCCGGTTTTGATACTGTATAGCAGATTTAATTTGAAAGTTCTTAAACGTAAATCTTTTTAGGATCATTTACGACAAAATCTATATTCCGAAAAACTCAATTCCGACACAAAATTCGTCGTAATTAATTTATGGACATATCTGCATTTAGACACACTACTTGCACAGAGTGTACGCAAAAAATGAACGACGATTGCAATTTCAACATGCCTTTTCATTTCGTTTCCCCCATTGCAACGCCTATATTTGGATTCAGTTGTGAAGTGGAGTTTCTGTGTTGTTTCCTCTTTCGCTTGCTGTTAATCGTTTTTTATTACATTATTCATCCAATCGTATTGTATCGTATCGCCATAACGTATCGTTGGGGAATCATGCCAATCGGAGAGAATATGGTGCGGTTGGCCAAAGTCAATATTTGGTTAAATGAAACACAACAGAAACTTGAGCTTAGCAATCATTGACAAGAAATTGGTCAATACCATCAAGTTAATCACGCCCCACAATTTGGCAATGAACTGGCGAAATATGTCTAGGCATATTTTAGTTCAATTTGTTGGCAAGTAATTAAAAAAAACTCGGGATTGTACATACATAACCCAATTATCCTAGAATGACCTAGAAGCAGATACTTTCTTTACATTCCACATATTTGTATTTTATTATTGTTTAAGCGGGGGAGGAGGCATAACATTTACTGACATTTTTATTTACTTACTCATTTTGTTGTCATTTCTATTTCCTTTCAGATACAATTTGAAAAATCCTATGATATATTCAGTGGATCCCTTTATCGAGGACATTTTGTTGTTCGCAATCACTTGCAAGTGGATAAATTTATAAATTTGGTAAGTCTTCCGATGCGGACAACGAAACAGAGCTGCATCTTAAGTGCCCTTCTCGACGAACTCCTTGAACTGTTTTACGACTACGACTATTCAATGCATTCGAAGTTTAGTTTTTTTTTATGAGAAAATCGCAATGATTTAACGACCACCATAAAATACCGGACTGAGTTTAATTTTTATGACTGGCTCTTTAATCGACCGTAAATTGATTTAACGATCTGATTTTGAATAGTCACTCGGTATTTAACTATTGTTTTGTGTTTTTTTTTGTTTGTTCTTCTATTTAAGGTGGCCAAAAATATATCAAAATGTTCGACACTGCTGGAGAAAATTCCTGTGAAATTATTCACTTGCGTTCTTAAATCCAAACAAACTTTGGGTCAAAAACTGTTGGAACATTACAAGGTAACACCAATATTTGAAGCTGAGACGGGTCGCTATGCCTGTCAAATTGATTTGAAGACAACGTTCAATGAGATTCTGTCTATTGTCAAAACCAATGACATTCACTTTGAAATGGAGGTGAGTACCCCAGAAACACTGACGCATTGCAAACACTGACATTAATTTAAATGCATTACTTTAAAGGTATCTCTGCCCAATGGTCTGACCGATAATATCTCACTTAAGTTTGTTCCCGGCATTAAAGTTACACCCGAAGCGTTTGCATCTGAAAATGATGCAGCTGAACAGGATTTAACAATAACTGGCCTTGATAAAGTCTTGCAAAAAGTTGAGGTAAGTTTAAAGTTTTTTTTTTTATGAAACTATTGTTTTGAAAATACTGTTATTAAAGTGTGATACTACGACAAAGACATTTGGCAATCCCAAAGTGACTAGTATTTCTAATCGAATAACTTTCGGTCGACTTGTCATCGATAGATTCTTTTGCTTGAAATCGTTTAAATCAACATTGAAGTCGATCTTGATGTCAGCCCCAGTTATTCTGGTCAAATCACTTACAATCTTTTTTTTCTGGATTTTATTTTTCGGCAAAATATTTAATGGAGTTTGGAGCTTTCTGTGGGAACTTATTCTGCTATTCCTGTTTAATATTGTTTTACTATTTGGTATAATTTTCTGTTATGCATTCCCACATCTTGGGGGATTCATCCATTTTAGTCACAAAGATTCACATCTACTGAAACTTTGACGACTATAGCGTTTGCTTACTTCATTTACATCTGAAATTTTGCATTTTATGTTCGTATCATCAGAAAAATTTTCTTGAAAAATATTTAATATATGTACAGGTTTTAAAACTTCTCTAAGGTAACGAAAGCCATAATTTTAGTCAACCCATGGTGTATGCCATAAAAAGCTCGACTGGACCCGCAAGGGTATATTTAGTTATACCCTCAGCCATATGGCTAGAGAGGGTATATATCATTTGATACGCCCTGAACGTGCCTCATCGAAATAATGGCTTTAAACTCTAGGTCTCTTTGGACCAAATCCGTTTCAGAACATTTGAAGCCGTTCTAGCGCTGTTCGTCCGTCCGTCTTTCTCGCAGTGGCGCACGATAAATCTGGTTCATGATTTGGTTCAAACTTGGTACATCGTAATATTATTGTCAAACTTTGATCGAGCACGGAGATGGGCAATTTCCGTCCATTTCTTCTGCTTCCTCCCCTATAAAAGGTCAACATTATAAAAAAAAAATGCTGCACAGAAAGAGAAAGGATAATCTGATTCTGCTCTAACTTTGAAAAATCCTTATATTTGCATCAGTACTAAGTCAGGTGCGAAAATGGACAATATCGATCCACTCCATCAAGTAACTCCCGCACAAAGTGTCAAAATTTTGAATAATTATAATTCATATACAATGTGAAGTAAGAGTCCGATTGTCTTCAAATTACATACAACACAATACAATACAAGGACTGGTGTAAAGATGAATTATATCGGTCCACTCCTTTTAGTACCTCCCCCACAAAGTATCAAAATTTTGAATTGCCAAAACGTTCATAAAATCCGAAATAAGCACCCGGTTGTCTTCATATTTTATATATCCCATTATTTCTACTAACACAACATATGTTGTGAAGATGCTATATATCGGTCTACTTCTTCTGGTACCTCCTCCACAAGGGGTCAAAATTTTAAATATCCACGAAGCTCATAAAAAGCTGAATTAACATCCGATTCCTTTCATACTTGGTACACTTCAATATTTCTATCAATACAATCGACCCATTTCTTCTGGTACCTCCTGGATTTCGCATAAAATGTTCGATTTTCTTGTAATTTTGCCCAATACCAATGTTGTTGCCTGTAATAGTTGAAGTATGAAAATGAAATATATATTGGACAATATAATGGACAATATTGGCCAATTCCTTCGGAACCTACTCTATATAGAGGGTCAACAATTTGAATAATCATAACAGAAGTCAAAATATATTTTAATAATCGAATATTGGCTGAGGGTATACCTCAGTCGGCAAAACCGATAGTATTCAATAGTTTTAAATATTATATTATTATATTATTTTAAATATATGCATACGAAAGACATTTGACGCCCCCAATTGAAATTATAGACGGTTATACCTTTTGCCTAAGAATCGCCTTTATATTTTAGAACGAAGCTTCTTTTTTATTAGATTTGTCGATTGTTGTTCATTTCACAGGCGGCAAATGAAATATGAATATATAATATTCGCTACCATTAAATATTTCTAATATTACTACAATATTATAATATTACTCTGATGAGATTGGGGAGAAAAGAAACGTTTTTTATACTAAAAATATACCCTCCGACCGTGGTCCATTTCTATGAGCACTATCACGAAAAGATACCTCAAATTGAAAAAAATAACAACAAAACAAAAATAAATAACTAAATAAGTATTCCTTATTCCCAGAGTTGAGTCCTTGTTGCTGCTCCGCTCTGCAGTTATTTTGTTTGCTAATATCGTTGTAGCTTTTTCTTCGCTGTTGTTTGTCTTACTCTCATATTCGTTACACAAAGTTTTGTTGTTATGAGAAGTATTTACTTTTTATAAACTTGCCAAAATAAAAGAGCAGAGTCAAAAATGGTATGAAAAATAGTTTGGAATAACTTAAAACTTGAAAATCCATTTTTATTTACAGAACTTCGTTAGGTACGCATAGCTCTTCACTTTATATTTTTAATGTTGGCTGCGACCAGTCCCAACCAATTGCCGCCCTCTTTGCAAACTTGTAAAGCTGATGGCAGAGGACAACGGTACTCCCAACACCCTGGATAAAGCAGCAACTGACCATTATGCCCACAATTGCATTCAACTTGAATCTTGTAAATGTCAGCTTGACTTGGCAGTCAGTCATTCCAAAGTTTCTTATCTATTTCGTTCTTACGTTCTCTGTCATATAAGCTGGCTTGACTGACCACTTTCCTGCCTCAGAGCATACGAGGAGTTTGAAGTTATTGTTTTTTGTTTTCGTTTTGCTATTTTTCTATGGCACGAAATAAATATGTATGAGTTGAGAGGCGATTCAAAGTAGGATTTGGTGGTATCCTGTGCGAATTTTGTCCGTTGTCCTACGGCCCTCTTGAGAAGGAGGGAAAACGAACGCAAATGGTTGCATGTCTGCATAGAAATGCAATTCTTGCTAACACCCATGTTGGTGGCAAAGGTATCGTAAACGGTTGAATTGTAGATGCCTGTTTGTCTGAATGACTGACTGCTTGACTGTCTGAATAAATAAATAAATGAATGAATGAACGAACGAACGAACGAATGTATGAATAATCCTCTATTCCTTTGTCTGTCATAGCATTTGGTACACTTGGAGAAAAGTGATGATTGTGTGGTAAAAATTGTGATACTTTAAAGGGAGTTTCCAGAAGAGTCAATTTCGTAGATAGAAGCCTATTTGTGGCGTGGTATAGATAGAAGCCCTGACTTTTTACATGTGTTCTATAGATAACTTTTTCAAAATTTTTAAATCTTAACAAGTTGGATTTGGAAATAAAACTGTAGTCTCCAATTTTTATGATATATACAGGGTGAGATAAAAAAAACTGCCACAAAGTCAAACGCAATAATTTTTACATTTTTTTTTTAAATTTTAGTGAATGAAAGCAAAAAATGTCGGAAATAGCATCAAATTTTAGAATAAGTGGCCAGCAATTTTAGAATAAGTCTACGGGGGTTTTGGTGCTTTCTTATTTTTTTGACGCTTGCTGTTTTCTTCCGTCCATTTTCTTGACGTCGGGCGACGCTACCAGTATCACGATAACGAGCGATGGTACGAGACACAAAAGTTTTATTCATATTTAAATGCTGGAGTGCTCTAACGATAGCCACGCTTGAATTCCATCACGAATATAATTTTTTTTCTGGAAAACTCTCACCAAAATGCTTTTGTACACTTGTAAACAATATAATGAGCTGTCACTGGAATAATTTTAACAGCTGTCGGACGAGTGGCTTAGAAATGACAGCAGTCTGAAGTTGGTTGCAGTATTTTCATCTCACCCTGTATACAGTTTATTTGTAGGTTTATAGGACTAAAAATTTCACTCTGGATGAATAATTTAATATACCTTCAAATATAATCGGAAACTGATCAATAATATACAACTTTCAAAATATGGAATACCATGAGTTTCCGTTATATAGAAGGATTACCTTTTGTAGTTGTTCCATGGACAAATGAACTCATCAAAGTAGACCTCATTTAAATAATTGAAAGGGAGTTTGACATTTTCGAAATTCACACAAATTTGAAAAGTGTAGTTTCTGTCTTCATGCTTCATTTGGGCGCCGTGGCCTGTCGCATACAGGCGGCGGCGACCATAGGAAGGAAAAACATTACGAAAGTTTTTTTAATCGAAAGATTGATTGAAGCAATACATGAAAAGTTTCATTGTTTTAGTTTTAATACGTTTTTCTTTTGCAATGTCGTTGTTTTTCGTTTAGTTGTGTTAAAGAAAAATCAAAAAAAAAAAAAAATAGAACTGAAACTATTGTCATTTATCCATCATTGGGGAATATACTGCACAGTAACTGCTGTGTATTTTAGCTTTACCTTCTGGCTTTGTGCGATGCGGTGCGATGTTTTTATTGTTTTTTTTTTTATTTATTGTTATAAAGTGTTACGTTTTTTCTCTTCATTCTTTTTCCTGGAATGTCGATTTTGTTCTAATGGAAAAATCCCTCAGGAATATGTTGAACTTTTTGTGGTTACCTCGTTTTTTTTCGCAAGTCGAGTCGAGTCGAGTCGAATCGAGTCAGGTTAGGTCAGATCAGGCCACCAATACATGGAGGAATAGTATCATGCTATTCGTTGTTGTATGTTTGTTGTACAACATATTTATTGTGGGTGGCTAATATTGACAGCTCCTAACCTCCTTACATTCATGAATAACCCAAAAGTCCGATAATTGTGAGCTGTGCCACACAGCGCAGAGAATATTTAAAGGCTGAATTGTTTTTTTATTGCATTTCCATTAAATATATTTAATTAAAATTATTATAAAAACAACAACCAAAGCTGTTACAATTAATATAGGTCACTGGTTAGTGAAATTCCATATGGACACGTTACAGTTTAAGCGCAAAAAAAACGAATAACAACAAATGTAATTTAATGTTAAAACCAACATCTGTGCGGTTTGTTTGTTTTCACACTTTGAAGCGGCTGTGATCTGTTCGAGGAGCCGGAGGTCATATTCCCCTTGGATCAGAAATTACTCCCCCCAAGAGGACTATTACATAGCTAGTTTAATGCACAAGTATCT